TGAAGTTTATAGGGCAGACCAGTAGTTTTAAATTCAACAGTTCATTCATATCTATTTTATTTTATATCATGTATTACAATTCCCTCAATATACCACCACTACCCATTTTCTTCCTGCATTTCCTGTTTCAATTTTTTTTCCTTAACACTTTTCTCAATAGTTGGGTCTTCTAAGGTGTGCATGCTTCATTAGAGTTATTGTTCTCTTAATACATGTCTATTTTGTTTTGGGCTGAAATTGAGCCACCCATTTACAGACCTGAAGGGTAACTAAGGGCCACAGTTTGGGGGATTCGATCAGTCACTATGTGACCAGTAACCTTGCTCTTTTTTCATTGGACCAATTAGTTCCACACATCTTTGATTTTCTTCACTCTTCTTGGCACTGGTTAGGCAAAGACTAATAGTTACACCTTAGCTGGCTACTCACAAAGCTTTTAATACCCTAGTCACTGCTTACCAAAGTAGGATAGAACATAATCTTGGTGAACTATATTATGCCAATTGTCACTGATGTGTGCTGAGATTATGTTCCTTAAGGTGTTTGGTTACCAACTAAGAAAATTTCTTAATTTTGTAGGGTATAATTTCTTAAGGTAACTATCCTATTCAACTTTGTATTATGGTAATTTGTGAACTTGTCACATCTTCCCTATTATGTATTAAATTTATTAAGTTTGGGATTAAATCTCTATTTTTAATTCCTTAGTATAGAAAAGCCAGTTGATCTCTTCACAGGGACCTGTAAACTGTTAGGAAGTTTGCACAGCTAAGCCCAAGTTTTAGGGTGATCAGGCCCACCTTGCATATATAAAGATTTTGAAACCTCATTTGAAAATCAAGTATGTCTTTTAAAAGTTACGTACATTTTCTTAACAAAAATTTTTGTTAAAGATTTTGAAATTTCTTTAGGCAGGCTGTCTCATTATTATTTTTAAAATTTTGTTAATAAATAATTTTATTAGGGGCTCTTACAGCTCTTATAACAATCCATACATCCATTATATCAAGCACATTTGCACATATTTTGCCATCATCATTTTCAGAACATTTTCCTTCTACTTCAGCCCTTGGTATCAGCTCCTCTTTTTAAAACAGTTTTATTGGGGGGCCTTCCTTCACATATAATAAAATTCAATAGTTTAACCACAAGAAGACTTGTCAATTTTTCCCACAATCAGTTTTAGAACATTTTCTTTTTCCTCCTATACTCATTGTTATTCATGTAATTTTCCCACCCATGTTGGCAAAATATATACAATAAAACAGGCATGAATTCAACAACTTCTACATGTATAATTCAGTACTCTGTGCTGTACAACCATTATTGTTATCCCTCTTCAAATTTCTCCACCAGCATTAAAATGAACTCAATGCCCCCTAAGCAAAAGCACTTCCTCTTTCACCCGTGGCAACCTTAGGTCAAGTTTGGTTTCTTTATTTCTTTTTTAGTAGTTTCCTTTACATAATATTCACATATCATACACTTCCATAGTTAAACTCCTTCTAAAAAGAGTTATATATACATAATCACAATCAATCCTAATGCTCCCTCCCTCTCCTTGTATCCACTGATTGCTCCCCAATTCCCCACTCCCTCCCCTTCCTTCTGTATTTTATTTTTTATCCCTTTCTGCTTCCTTCAGGAAGAGTTTCTCAATCTCATCTTCCACAAACTAATTTGTATTTGTGTTCATTTTCATACTTTTTGCCTCAACTATTCTAGCTTCAAATCAGTGTTTCATACAATTCTTGTTACAATTTATTGTTCATGTTTTATATTGATAATCTTTCCCTTTATTTCTTTCACAACATGTTTGATGCTTATGCTAAATTTTTAGTCCATCTGATCCAATACTTCTGCAATCAATGGTGCCTCCCAATCAACTGTCTTAGAGCCTCATTGTGTCCAGCCCCAACAGCAGTAGTTCTGGATAGAGATTCTCTTAAAATTGTAACTTGTCAGTCTCACTATTTCCTGAAGTTCCTCACCTGATGAATACTCCAAAGCTTTTATATTTCTATGATTTACTTCTGGGGACACATGCACTCATTGCCATAAGTCAATCAATTGAGCATAGGCACTCTTTGACCCAAGAAAATCATGGGAGGCTCAATTAGTTTTCTGGTAGACGTGTTCTTCATGGCCACTTGATCCCCACATAGGGTCAACTCTACAGTGGCTGTGCAGTTCTGTAATGACATTCTTCTTCTGTATTTCCATCAAGATTGATCAAGGGATGTAGTTCTCAGAATATGAGCCTAGGCATAGCAGCAGCAGCAGCAGCAGCAGCAGCAGCAGCAGCAGCAGCAG